GCGTGTAACATCTCACACAGCTTTACCATCATGTTTTATTTTACTTAAAAGAGAAGATGGCTGGGAAACCAACCATATGTTCGGGATCCATCCAGGAGCCTGGACCGACCCCTGGCTCAGCCTCTCAGCGAACCACTGAAAGCCTGAGCCAGAATCTCCTGCCCTCTCCACAGCCCAGCGCTCCATTCAGCATTGGGGGGAGGCAGAGCAGACAGCAGCGACTGACAGTCATCAGCTCTCTGTTCCCAGAGCACTAAGAACTGAGTGATCAGCGGTCTTTGATATCTCAGTTCTCAGTCTTAGAGCAGGCAGGGGACATATGAAACGATCCACCTAGATAAGTATTATTTCTTACAAAAAAAAAAACATACTTCTCATTTAAATTATAAGTTCTCTTTTAGTAGCATAATAACGTGTGTAACATTCTTCAGCATTCTCCCCCTCTCCCTGTACCTCCCGATCCTCCCCCTGTGACAGTGGTTCTTCCCCTTGCACCCACTGTCACAATTTAAATATAGCACAGCAGTACAAGTTTATGCCCACACAGCATCAATCACTCACAGCAATTCATCAATTCATGAATTAATGGGCTACAATGTACGGCTTGTAGTTCTCAATAAACTATGAGAGTGATGGTGAGTGCTCTCGTAGGTAACTGATCTTTCTGCTCTTCAGTAACCGTCTGCCCATAAGGGAGTTATGGGCAGACAGCTATACAGACAGCCTGCAGGAGCCTGGCATTACCCTGTGATCTACTGATCATGGGTACAATGCTTTCCAGGCTCTGCAGTAAAAAATAATAAATGCAATTTTTTGTTCCTGCAGAAATATGTGCATTTATTATTTTTTCCCTAAAGGTGAACTTAGCTTTTAAAGTGGTTGTAAACCCTTACCTATACCCAGTGAAGTGACTGACCTCAGGTGATACACAGAGATGAAACAAATCCTTCTACAAGAGTTGTACCAGTTTATCTACAAGTGAGCTGTCTGTACCCTACATCCATTCAAAGTGCAGAATTTACAAGGAACTCTCAGCTCTGAAAAGCAGGGTGTGGGGAGGTAAAGTTCCACACTGTACAAGAGCTCTGAGAACTGATTGGAGGGAAGGGACACCCTCCCCTTCCCACAACACACAGGAACAGAGCTGAGGCTGTCAGTCACAGACTATGCCCTCCCCTGTCACCTTTTATCTCTTGATATTAGGAAAACTCATCAGAAGTGACTTATGCTGATAGCAGAGAAATGAAGAAGCAGAAATGACACTTAATGCTGTGTATTGAGACAAGTACACACCAGGGGCGGACTGGCCATTTGAAAAGGGCCCGGGGTCAGTAGGGGGCCCCATGAGATGCCCCTGGTACCTTTCTCATAGGCTTTTTTGAGTTTGGGCAAGGACACAGGGGCCCCATGATCCCCTATTGCCCGGGGGCCCCATGAGTTGTCAGTCCGCCCCTGGTACACACTATAGAAGGATATGCTTTGTTCATATTTTATGTCAGACTTTTAAAACCACTTTAAATAGTTAAAGGTGACAAAACCACAGCAAACAGATCTACCTTTTTGGATTCAACCTCATGTCTTCCTTTATGGCATTTATATAGTTAAGTTGGCCATTGATAGATGGAATTTTGAACAAAAATTTTTAAGAAAAGTCTTGGAAACACATAATACTGTAAGTCTCAGAACATTTGAATGTTCTTCAAAAGATTTTGTTTGCTTTAACATTTGATTTTGGAATGAAATGACTTTATCAAACAAGGGATGTTCATTTACAGATTTCTCAATTAAAAAAAACAAACAAAACTCACATGTGGCTTTCTTGGAAATGTACCCTGGTGTCCATTTTGTTCAGCGTGGGAGAAGAGTAGGCTAATATAATTGTGCTTGTTGTTCATCTTATGATAAGATGGACTAAAGGAACCAAAAAGCCTCCCCTTTCCCAGACCAATGAGAGGATCAGATATGCCTTTCCACGTGCCAGAAGGTATCTACATGCCTCACTTTCATCACTTATTTCTCTGATTTGTAATGGGATATACCTTCTGTTATGAGAACTCTTTAGTGTGTTTTCCACTGGCTTAGTGCAGGGCTTTCTTGTTTCTTTTACCCCATCTCACTATAACCTAGCTGGTTATACTTTATCATTGCCCTCTAAGACCTACTTAGAGGCCATTTTTACATGCACTGCAGTGATGATGGCACAAAACCATGAAACAGGTGTATGCAGTTTAGAACTACTGCATTCGCTAGGAGTGGGGACGGGGCCAAGCCACGCTCTGTGTGTCTTATAGACACACAGAGGCGGCTCGGGAGTGAGCACTCATGAGTGCCCTCAGACCAAACACCTTGCTCTGGGAGCACTCAGCAGGGGAGAGGTGCCAGGAGCGCCAGCAGGGGACCTGAGAAGAGGAGAATCAGGGCTGCTTTTTGCAAAACCATTGCACACAGCAGGAAAGTATGTGTTGCATGTGTGTTATTGAAGAAAAAGAAAAAGCCGAACCTTTACTATCACACTATCAAGAAGACACACTGTTCATCTACATAACATTCATTTTGCTTTAACTTTTGGTGACAGATCTTGCAAAATGGCCTGGCCTAGCATCGAGTAATCACAAGATGCTTTCCAGACCACTGACCAGGAAAGAAGACCTGCATGGCAGATGTTTAAGGGCACTGCCATAGGATAAAGAGTCACTGTTCATGGAGACCTCTACAACCTCTGATCAGTCCCTTGCATCTCCTGTTATGCACTTGCAGTCTCCTTATCAGGCAGGAATTGTCTGTTGCATGCAACAATTTCCTCCCAAGCATTCCCACCAATCAATGGCAGCCTATATGCCTCTAAGCAGTGTTTTGTATCTTCTAATACCCACTCACAGTCTCCTGATTGGCCAGAAGACGTCTGTTGCAAGCAACAATCCCCCCTCCCAGACACTCCCACCTATCAATAGCAGACTATAGGATGTCTGTAGAACACTCCAGAAACATCCTGTTTTTGCAGAAAACAAGTTAACCCTTGTCTTTACAAGCACCCCAATACTGCTGTACCCTCTGAATGCCATTATACCTAAAAGGCAAATATTTTGCAAACTGGGAATATCAATGAACTCTTGTTAAATACAAAGTCCTAGGCAGACCATACACATCAACTTGGCTTGTGACGTCATCACTATGCCAATCAGAAGGTCTGTTTGTTTATGCTGATTGTGTTGTGCTGGGAAAGTCCTTGGCAAATGATACACATCGACAGGGGATGTGGAGTCATCGCTATACTGATCGGAGGGTCTGTTTTTTATACTGATTGTGTTGTGCTGGGGAAAGCACTATTCTATGATTTCTCTGCGGGAAAATAATATATTTTAATAAATGGTATTATGCTACCTTCGACTTTAATTTTTTTTTTGCGAAAGAATATTTTAATGTTGAAAAGAAGATTTGGAATAATATTTTTCTTCTTTTTGGTATACGTAGAGAATGCTGCACCAGGTGGTGAAGAACATGCTTTGCGGTGTTGAAGAATCACATTCATTATTGCACAGAACTGGTCTTACTACACAATATAAACTTTTATACATTGTTTGTTATGAATGACTTGGTTCACTTGTATGTTTAATGTAATAAAATTATTTGTTTTGTTTTAATTTTATTGCTAGTAAGAATGAGTAGGTTAGCGTGATATTCATCGTTTACGTTTTTATTGTTGTTCATGACCTTGCTGGGAAGATTTCATCTCAAAAGTAGAAAAAAACATTTTTAGGCTTTTTTTTACATCTTTTTGTCTATAGATTGCATAAAAAATATAATGTTTTTGCAAGATAATATGGTTTGGCCTGAAAAATAGCAATATATGTATTATTTAGTTTCTGAAGTAATAAAGTTATTGCTGAAACTGGCCCTTAGCAAAAAAATGAAATATTGCTCTGGTTCTCAAGGTGAAACAGCTGAAGTGATTAAAGCACATGTTTACCTATTAAAAACAAAAAAACACCCCATGCCTCCCTAGATTCCTCAATATCACTAGATGTCAACCTCCCCCTTGATTGTTTCGGCTTCCCACTCTGTCTGCAGGCTATATCGGTGAAAATCTTGTACTAGACTGCTTTCATCTACACTGTATCCGATAGACTTGACTAGGGAATACTTATTATTATAATACAGGATTTATATAGCGCCAACAGTTTGCTCAGCGCTTTACAATATAACGGGAGACAATACAGCAACAATACAGTTCAATACAAGAGGGTTAGGAGGGCCCTGCTCCTTATTTTTGCCAGCATGCCTGCAGACAGTGCAGGAGGCAGCAGCTTTCCGACAAGGTAGGTACAAGGTGTAAATGCACTTTAAGGTGAATTCAGAATGTCATTTTTTTGTTGTAAACAATATCCTGTAAATAAAAATTAACAACAGTATATTATAGGCATTTTTTACATGGGCGGCAGTGTTAAACGTCACCATCCTCCTGCAAAATGATCAATGATAGACTGCTTTTCAGAGGCAGCTGTGATGAGGTTTGCAGGCATTCAGAAGGCGATACTGTCACCTCCTGAATACCTGTTTTTTTATAGCTAAAGGGGACTTTTGAATAGGTATATCACACAACAACTGTGAACCAAGTGTTTGGCTTGTGGTAGCAGTACGTTCCCATTGACTTCAAGGAGTTACATAACATAACAGAGCTGACACTCGTATAATTAATTGGTAAAGTAAAAAAGTGTAAAACGTATACCTATTGCTATGAATTACCTAACTTGGGTTGAATTTTTTTTTTTTTTTTACAGAACAAAAATAGTGTTTTAAATATTTTTTTTTTTCCATCAAAAAGCTGCTTCTTTCGATTTGGCATCCAATATTAAAACTTGTTAATGAAAACTGTCGGTAAAGAACTTAAGTCATACAAGAGCCGCTAATGAAGTGGTAAGAAGCAATTCTATTATTGGATTGATGCCATAACACCACACTGCTTTAATTAATATCCTGTTAGTGGCTTCCTGAAAGATTACCTCTACATTAGCTTTCTTCTTAATTTCTGGGATGTCAGTTCCCCCGGGACTAGATGCCGCCGAGCTCGGAGAGAAACAGTCTTTACAAACACGATTATGACGATTGTTTTCCGCAAGGAGCTTGAATTCTGAACACTTTGCACAAATAACCTACAAGCAGCAAAGAGTACATATCAGACAAAAATAATGGATAAACAATACCAGACCAGTTTTACAAGAGACAAATAAGCATTTTACTATTAATCTGTATATACACACTAACAATGAACACCTCTTTTCTGTTTGTTAAATATATCATTGAAAGTGTTCTGTTATATCTGTGCACACAAAAATATGTTGATCCTGCCAGAAATCCAGTGACCTTGCAACTTTCAGTGTTCTACCGAGTGCTGGGATTGGTTCATCCAGTGCCCAGGGCAAGGATGTGGAACTACAGTGGGGATTGAAAGTTTGGGCACCCCAGCTAAAAATTTGTATTAATGTGCATAAAGAAGCGTGCGTTTGGAGAAGAAGGGGCACAGAATTTAATGAAAAGAACCTCTGTCCAACTGTTAAGCATGGGGTTGGATCAATCATGCTTTGGGGTTGTGTTGCAGCCAGTGGCACAGGGAACATCTCACGAGTAGAAGGAAAAATGGATTCAATAAAATTTCAGCAAATTTTGGATGGTAACTTGATGCCATCTGTGAAAAAGCTGAAGTTAAAGAGAGGATGGCTTCTACAAATGGATAATGATCCTAAACACACCTCGAAATCCACGGGGGATTACATCAAGAGGCGTAAACTGAAGGTTTTGCCATGGCCTTCACAATCTCCTGACCTCAACATAATTGAAAATCTATGGATAGACCTTAAAAGAGCAGTGCGTGACAGACAGCCCAGAAGTCTCAAAGAACTGGAAGACTTTTGAAAGGAAGAATGGGCAAAGATACCTCAAACAAGAATTGAAAGACTCTTGGCTGGCTACAAAAAGCGTTTACAAGCTGTGATACTTGCCAAAGGGGGCAGTGCATGCTATAAATTCTGCAGGGTGCCCAAACTTTTGCAGATGCCATTTTTTTGTTTTCTGTTATTTTGAAAGTGTAAATGATGGAAATAAAATCTAACTTTTGTTGACATATTATAAGAATGTCTAATCTGTAATTTGATGCCTTTTGGAGATTTTTCCATCTTTCCTTGGCTTCTTTATGCACATTAATACAAATTTTTAGCTGGGGTGCCCAAACTTTTGATCCCCACTGTATATATAAGTAACATACAACGTGACAGTGTGAACAGGGCCTTCAAAATTTCCTATCCTAGGGTAATAATGCTGCTACTTCATACAGTTCAGAGTGTGGGTGATCTGGCCAGTAACATGCTTCCTGTATTAAAATGCCCCACTCTGGATGAACGAGCACAGAGGGAAAATTTGGACAGCAGCATTGTCAGTCTGGGAAGGGGATGGTAGTGTTAAATGTACTAGCAAATTTAAATATACTAACAAACTCCAGCTAACACCTTAGAAGCAGTCACAGCAAACTTTTTTTTTCCTTTTGGGTTAAAGCTTCTAAATAAATGGACTAATCACTGTAAGCACCCCTGATCGTGTTCAATGGTTTGTACCTGATACACCTGCTGGAGAGCTTGTTCTTTTTAAAAACAAGAGATTTACCTGCTAGATCCCCAGATAAAAATAGAAGAAAGCCTACAAAAGAAACCTATGCAACCATCACATCTAGGGTTTAATATAACTAAGTTTAGATCCCATCATAGTGGTCCTGCACTTGCAATTTGGTTGTTTTTAGTCAGCTTTCAACTGCAAATATTTCCTGGTTTCAGGAGAGCAAACAATTACATTTGGGATAGTAATCAATGGAGAACACCTTTTTTCAGTGTCTTTGAAATAAATTCAATTTGCACCCTTTTTTTTATCATTTAGACATTGAAAACTATAAGTCTGCTTTCACATATGTGCATTGCAGTAACATGCGGTAAAATGGTCATATGTGCATTACGGTACCCTTCATTCTTAATAGCACCACAATGCATATACACGAAAAGGTAAATGCACTTGTGCTGTAGCATACGGCAATACAGAGATATTTTGTGTGTTATGGTGTGTTGTGGTATTGAGTGCTGTGAGCCCATTACTAACATATGGGCTACTTCAAGAAACCGTGTGCATTAATATACGCACAAGTGTTGTATAGCCTGTCCTTAAATAAGTATGGTTGGAAATTGATTGAAATCAAGCATTGGCTATCGCTAGGTAAGCATAATAGCTGAAAATCTCAATTTTTGTATTCTTCTCCTGCAGCTGGCTACCCTACCACTAAATCCTTGTGCTTGTCAAGATATATTTTATGAATCTGGAGGGCACCAAGCTAGTAATCTGGCCCCAAAACCGACAAGCACCACTGAAACAGCCATAATGCTCATGTGCCTAGTAGCAAATGCCCTAAGTCTCAGTAAATGGTGATGACGGCCAGAGTGTCCTATGTGACAAGAAGCTGCAATTATGGCTTCATGAATCTGTCTGCAAGTGATAACATAAAATCAAACCAGCTTCCCATTACTTACCGCCCCACACTGCTTGCAGTGATGTCTTCTTTTTGTAATCGAGTTAAAGGTTTCTCCACAGCCTTTACAACCATGCTTTTCCTTGTCCCGTTTTATTTTAGAAGACTTTCTAAATGATTCTTGCTGCAAAAGAAAGATGACCATGTTACGTCATTTTAAGCGGTGTATACAGAAAAGCAATGTGCATGTTTTATTACAATGTGCAAGTTGGTAAAGTTAAAGTGGTTAAACCCTTACATATACCCAATGAAATGACTGGCCTCCAGTGATACATAGAGGTGAAACAAATCCTCTTACATAAGTTGTACCTGTTTATATTATCTACATCTGTTCGAAGTACTGACTTCAAGTCCGGACACTTTTACCCCCTTCCTGTCTAGGCCAATTTTCAGCTTTCAGCACTGTCACACTTTAAATGACAATTGCGCGGTCATGCAACACTGTACCCATATGAACACTGTACCCATTTTTTTGAGACCGATAAAACTTTATTTTGGTGGTATTTATTCACCACTGGGATTTTTATTTTTTTTGCTATATAAATGAAAAATCCCAAAATTTTGAAAAAAAGTGTTTGTCTTCTAAAATTTTGCAAATAAATATTCTTTCTTTATAAATCTTGGCCAAAATGTATTCAGTTATCTTTTTAGTAAAAACAAATAACCCAAATTAGTTTATAACCAAAAATGATAGTTTTTAAAAACTTTTTTTACATTTTTTTTTTTTATATTATTTATGTTTTTTTTTTTAAACATACTGTCACCCTAGCAGTAGTGTCACCATAGTGACACTGTACTACTTGTGGTGGGTGATGAAGAATTTTTATTTATTTATTTAATTTTACACATATTGCTTTTACACCCATAAAGGCTGTAAAAGCAATAATGTCTCCTTTTCTTTGACTGCATTGAGAAATACTCTGTGAGTTGTGATTAGTCACAGCTTGTCACATGGTACAAGGCTGTTGCGAATAACCTTGTACCATGTGATCTCTGTGATCATTCACAGGATTTCACTAGTAGTAAGCAATGATGTCAGAAGTGACATCTTACTTACTACTATTCATGTGATCACTGATTGGCCAATCAGTGATCACATGATCGGAACCTCATACAGAGGTCCCGTACAGCGTTCCGCTGTGTCCCAGGGAGCGTGCACAGGCTTAAAATGCAGGCACCATTTATGAACGGCAACCCGCTCCTGCACTGCTCCTGCCCGGCCGTTTATATACATGGGCTGGACGGGAAGTGGTTAACGTTTGTCTGAGAGTTCAGAAAAAAGGGGGTGGAGAGCTGAAATTACACACTGCAGAGCTCAGTGAGGAGAGCTCTGAGAGCTGATTGGAGAGAAGAGACACACACCCCTTCACACAGCTCACAGGAACAGAGCAAAGGCTGCCCATCTGCTGGAGGTCCTTTCCCTGTTCCCATTTTTTCTCTTAGTGTCAGGAAAACTTGTCAGAAGTGACTCATGCTGATAACAGAGAAATGAAGCTGCAGCCAGAAAAATAACACTTAGTGCTCTTAATTGAGACTCACTATAGAGGGATATGCTTTGTTCATATTTTGTGTCTGAGATTTTCACACACTTTAAAGTGATTCTGTCAAGAGTAAAGCATAGGGACTGCCATTGTTGACCTCTCATTTGAGCTCCCTGGCTATCATGCTGATGCTCTGGATCCTGAAGACTCTTCCTCCAACTCCGTCATCACACCGAGCTAGAGGAAGTATTAATATACTGATGTTGCCGCACTCGTGCTCCATTGAAAATTACAGTCCTTCAGCCATCGTGGTAGTGTTTTCTTTTGCAACTTGGTGAATGAATGATGTTGCAGTGTGGGCAAAGCCAAGCATGGCCACGCAGAATTTAAACTTGACCGTAGCCAGCGGGAAGAAGAACCCCTGGTATTCTGTAACTAGGGAGCTGTTTGAGGGTAGGGGGCTGTGGACTCTGACCATGTTTTATTCTACAACCTAAATATGTGTATAACATGAAACATGGTCCAAAAGGTGGAGTTAACTTTTAGGTTAGCACAGCCAGGTGATTAGCATTTTCAAAAGAGCACCAACAATGGCAGTTCACATACTTTTCTCATGACGGAATCACCTTACGGGTAATGTCCAAAACAGTGCAATCCTTAACAAACAAGTAACAAGCATCCTCTATTGCTTTCAAAAAGCTAAGCCAGACATTCTCAACCAGGGTTCCTCCAGAGGTTAAAAGGTGTTCCTTGAGCAAAATGCAACTTCTGCCTCTTAGAAGAGTAACCATTGACACCAGTTATCTTTTTTAGCTACCTATAAGGAGGAATTCTTCCCAATGACCACAAATAGCAACCTTCACACTAAAGTAATTTGAGCTGTCTAGAATTATTTCCAATAATCAAGAATGCTAAAGTGCCAGTTTACATATATGCAGATTGGATGCGGTTTGAACCGCATTCAATCCGCATGACATGCGAAATAACATTGCTTCCTATGGTGCCTGTTCACATATGTCCAGTGCACTGGCAGTGCGGTATCAATATGGATTCAATGCAGATTGGAAAAGAGTGCTGTCCAAATTCTGAGTAGTGTAGCCCTGCGTATTACAGGCTATTGACTTCTATGGGAACTGTTTCTGATTCGCATTTGTGTGTGAACAGGTTAAAATCCTGACCTGAACCTGTCCTGAACCTGATGTAAACCTGGCCTGAACTGGTGAACAACTACTGTGTCAGTTAGCTGTGAAACCTGAGCTTCAATCTGCACCGCACATGTGTGAATCAGCTGTAAACGTGAGCTTAGTGAAAAAAAAAAAAAAGCGAAAGATTGCTGCACCACAGTAGCAATCCAGATACACAATGCATGACAAATATATAACAGACTTGGGTGAGCTTAAATGCATTCTTACAAAAATATACATGAATATATCAACAAACATAAACCACAGATCCAAAAGATAAAGTAAAGCGCAGAGTTGTGCAAAAATTCATAAAGTGTAATACAAATTAAATACATAAAAAAGGTACAATAATTTCATCAATATGCGTTAGAAATTCACACCAAAAATAAAATATGAATGCATGAATTTCTAACACATATTGATGAAACTATTGCACCTTTTTATTCATTTTATTTGTATTACAATTTATGAATGGCGTGAATTTCTAATGCATATTGATTAAATTATTGCACCTTTTTATTTATTTAATTTGCATTACAATTCATGAATTTTTACACTTTATTTGGATTTACGATTTATGCTTGTTGATATTTTCATGTATATTTTTGTAAAGAATGCATTTAAATTGATAGCACACCCAGGTCTATTATAGATATATAATTATTTGCAGGGGTTCCCTGAACCCAGAAAAGGTATTTCAAGGTTTCCTCCATGTTAAAAAAGATTGGAAAAGGCTGTTCTAAGCTGAAAGGTGAAATGGGAAAGTGCACATCATTGCTGTTCATCCAAATATATAATGAACATAAAACAATAAAAGAACCATATACATATAAACAGGGGCGGACTGACAACTCATGGGGCCCCTGGGCAATAGGGGATCATGGGGCCCCTGTGTCCTTGCCCAAACTCGAAAAAGGTACCAGGGGTATCTCATGGGGCCCCCTACTGACCCCGGGCCCTGGGGCAGTGCCCAAATTTCCAAATAACATATATAATAAACAGGGAAAAGGCAATTGAAATTGACAAAGTACACGAACAAGGTATTCTTTTCTTTTATTGTTGGTTACAATAAACCTGTATCCAGATATGAACACCAGTGGCTCCCCTTGGGTAAGGCTGCCACCAACAGGTTTATTAGTGTATTACATCACTTATGTAAACTGTAGGATGTTTTCCTGATTAACAAACAATTCATCATGCTGTGGTCAATGTTGCTAAACCAAGTTACTTCCCACAGATCCTATCATTTATTATCCAGCACTAGAACACTGACAAGTAGAACCTGATTAGTTGTTACAGGAATGTGTTCAGTTACAATTTACAGCTTTTTTGAAATCAGTCCCAATGTCTGCATTTATTTTGCAACACATATGTCCGGATGCATTCTCCTTTTCACCACACAAGATCTAGAGAAAGCATGATCTTGCAAGAAAGAAAGAAATTAGATGAAAAGAACAAAGCTGGTCGTAATCGCTAAGCAGTGATTAGACATGTAGACACAATCTGATCACACTCAAAAGTCTCAGCATGGCTAACCGAGGTGGAAAACAACAACAATATAAACCCATACATATGACATGGTTATCCCAAAATCAGGCTATGATTACTGACTGAGGTCAGTAGACACTTTGGCTGGCTGACATATCTCCAGTGGAGATGTTTACTAGCCAGAGGTGATTATTTCTCGTGATTGACTATAGTTCCCAATTCGAGCTTCAGCGATTCTCTGCCTTATACCCAGGCACTCCTTCAGTTTGACCATGCAAGTTGATGTGTTTTTCATATACACAGAAAACAAAATAATAAAAACAGTCTAGTGAGCATACAGTAGGCTCTAAAGGATTGCTGCTTGGTCTTGATTTCAGCCATGATCTTTAGGCAGTGGTCTATGAACAGCAGCGGTAAACACCGCCAGACGAGAGATCTCTGGGGAAATAATTGTGAGGATATCTTATCCAATTGTTGCCGTGTTAACAAGATAAATTGGGAGAGTAGATCCTCTGTCTGCATCTCCCTCCTCCATCTTCGTTCAGTTAAACTGCTAAAATGTGCACTCTGATCTGGAAGGGCAGTTTTTGTTTTCATTTATGTGTACATTTTAAATGTTTGTGAATAACTTACTGGAAGTTTCATTATATTCTATTGGTCGATGGCAAGGACAAACCAGGCATGCATATTTGTAACATAAAGAACATCCAGAGTGATCAGAGGATAATTGAGTTGTATGTGTGTGTCCAAATGTCCTCTTAAAATGAACAATGTATGGCAAAATGGTTATTTATGGCAAAGCAATTTAATGTGCTTAGAGGCCTTTCCAAAGCCTCTCACACTAGTTGGTGCATTTAGCCAGGGAGAATGTCACCAGCACACCGAGGATCACCAATATGGGTCCAAAGGTTTTAATGAACGATCACATAATTACAGCAAGGCAACGTTTCGGAGTCTCGCAGGACCCCTTC